AAAGTTCGTGAGGTGGCATGTTTGCGATGATGACCATGTGTCAATCACAACGATGTGATTCATGCTTTTATGTACGTTATGGCATTTCTAACCAAGCTTGCATAGCAATCAATAAGAGGAGGATTTCAGCAAGTCAAAGATTTGTGTATTTCAATTTTTGTGCCATTTTTGTCCTTTTATTCCAGATTTACTATTTCATCAAAAGATGGAGCTATTGTAAATTGTTGCACTTTGTATTCATTATTTGCTAAGCCATAAGACAGTCATTCGTGTTGGTCGTTCGTGTTCGCTTTTTATGCGAACAAGTGTTCGCATAAACCTTAGCCTTGTACAAAGTGCCTTAAAACATTGTATCAAACGTTCAATCCGTAGTAGCTTTCTTCTATGGAAAGGTTTCGCATTTCTTTTCTTTTCTTTTTCCTTTTTTGCCATATTCCGGAGCTGGCTTCAAGTTAGAATTAGCTTTACGGCATGGAGCGAATCGCCGATCGATCTTCATTACTGTAGGATTACCGTTAGGCGAAAATTGATTGGAGGGTCAAAGTTCAAATTAAGATTCAGGGGCTATTGTTAGCTTAGTAAGCGTTTTCAGATTGTTTGATTTGCTTTCTTAGGCGGGATAGGCCCTTAATGGCTCAAAATCCTCCTCAGACTTACTACAGTTGCCTAACAGTAATGAAAAGCTCCCGTTGGCGCTCCTTGCTAAAATCTAAGCCGAAGCTAGCTCAACAATATGGAATTTGAAGGAAGAAAAACTTTTCATACGAGAGAGTTACTCAAATGAAACGTTCGATAAAATTTGGGATACCCTATGTATATCCTAGCTGGTAACCTTGCCATGTTCATATACGTATCACGATAGAATTCGCTATAAAAGCGCAATCTTTGTTGGGATATTCTGAAGTTATTATTCCTTAGACTTGATTCATTTACATTCGTTCCAATTTAGACATCATCATAAAATCCAGGGCTTCACTTTCGAACCTTGCTAAGCATTTTTTTTCTTTGATTTTTGGCCCTTTGCAATGAAAATATCCACGCCGCTGTCGAGTAATTCCTTGATTTCGTGCGAACAACAGCAGCAGAGCTCATTTTTATCTTCCAGGGAAGGATGCAGTGATTTAAGGCAAGCTTAGCAAAGCATAAGTTAATGTTGATTTATTACTGTCTGTCCGCCACGAAATTTTGTAGAGCGGGTTCATATAACGTCTCGAGCCACAATTTTCCATAACACGCGTCACCAGCATGTATCGTCTCGTTGACAGCACGGACTAGCATCACCGCGGAGCACGCGCCGCGATATAAGAAGCTTGCTCTAATACAAATACGCCATTGTACAAAATGTGCTTTCGCAACACAGTAACCGTGCCCGCGTGCTCCGCAACGCTTGAGCAGTGCGTGCGGTCAATGAATCGACGGCAGTTGCATAATTTAAGGGCAGTGTCCGGGCAAAAACTCGATTTTGAGATTTTGTGCTTATCTGGATCTATTCGCTTTGCCGAATCCGAAAATCTACAGTGGAGAGCGCGAAAACGGCGAAAAAGGGCTCCAACGTAGGAGAGAGATCAGCAGGTGGGCGGGGTCTTCCCCACCATGATTTCACGCTCCCAGCTTCCGGAGCGATCTTGTCTGTCCCGAATTCAAGTCACGCGTTCGCATATGGCCGATGGCGATGTTAGGGTGGCTAGAGGAATCGAGAAGATTGCTCCGGAAGCTGGGAGCGTGAATTTACGGTAGAGAGGACCCCGCCCACTTGCTGCTCCTCTCCTGCGCTAAAACCCTTTTCTGCCGTTTTCGCGTTTTCCAGTGCGGATTTTCGGATTCAGCATAGCGAATAGCCCCGTAAAAGCACAAAATCTCAAAATCGAGTTTTTGCCCGGACACTGCCTTTAAGAATACAGACGAGTCCGCAGCGTGGAACCTACGAAAGCTGCTCATTAAACGGGTCCACGTAAATTTTGGCAATCATAGGACTCTATTTTCGTCTTTTTTTTCTTAGTCTGATATTTTTTATGAATTCTTGAAAAGAGGCCTTTTTGAACTTTGTGAGATTCTTTAGAGATTGATTAGTGCATACTATGACATAAATTTGAGCCTTTATTTTCAATGGCTTCTTGTAGCAGCGGTGCAAATATTGGCGGCGGTAATTTTGCGCACCCTGAACTTACTGAAATCAGCAAACTGAGAAAATAAACAAAAATTCAAAGAAAATCGTGAAATTAATTGCTTACCGTAAACCTATAGAACTCTATGGCTCGACACTTGAATAAAGGAGAAGATGTGCCCCACAAGCTGAGTTGAATGGTGCTTTTGGATCAAGAATTTACGCACTCTAAACCGAGATATGGCGATGCGAACTACAGCGAACTCCGGCGGCCCCCCTCTTGGCGCCGCCCGTTTTTTTCTTCGGGAATCACGCGTGGTTGTAGTTCTTCAGTCTTCTTCATCGTTGTTCCTATTTTTTTCCGAGTGTCTCGAAACACAGACAATGCCCTTCTGTGGAAACATTGAGGAGAGAATGCTCATATGATTTTTGTGAAATCTTCTGAATATGCTCGCAGCATTAAATTTATGCGAATTTTTATGATAACCGCTGAAACAAAAAGTCTGGATGTAGAAAGGCGCATCTTTATTGGCTCTGCTCCAAATGCTTTTACAAAATGAAACACGTGAAATAGTGCGCCATAGGTGTTGTTTCCACCCAAATTACCAGCGTAGACCGCGTGACAGCTCAGCCATGAAACTGTAAGCTTGACCCATATCTCACTAAAACTCAGCTCTAAACAAACTCCACCTCCATGTTTCGTGTCAGAAAGTAGAACCAGATAAAAAGGGAATAGTACATCAACTAAATCTAAGAAGAATCCATGTGAGTGGCTCAAATGAACGCAGACTTAAGTCTCACTCATTATCGACTGTCGGACTGTAGAACTAGTGTTCAGTTACATAATCGTCTTTTTGTAATACATATTTAGAGCTGTTTTTCTGCATGAGTTTGCCCATTTTAATTTCGCGAAGGTATTAGAACGGAGGGTCGTGGAATCAAGGTGGTCGATCAAAACAAACTGCACACAATTAATGAGAGCTTGGAGCGCTGATTCCAAACCTGCATTTACTATCTGCAAAGTGCTGCTGAAAAGGAAGTTATAAGCACTTTTCAAAGTCGAACAGTGGAGTAATCGCTTAGAGCATTCAATCCTTCCAGCTTTTCCAGACCTGAATCGAAGCATTGGGATGTGTCAGGGTACTTCATACAGTGAACTTCTTTTGCGTAGATCAGTACTTTTATTGGTCCATTTGACGTCTAAAAAAGGCTGTAACCACTGATTTTAGCCCAACCTTCATCTCAGTTCTTCGCCTCAAGAGATGCTCATAACTTTTTACCCACATGCGCCCTGCAGATAAGAAAAGCAGATTTGAAAACAGCGTTCCAAACTCTCACCAATGGTGTGGTTTGTGGTGATCGGCCGCTTCGACTTCGTGATCCTCCCTTGTTAGAAGTACTTTCCATATGTTTTCTGTAAACGTATAATAATCACATACATGTGTGTGCGAAAGAAGTAAAACTGTTTGATAGACGGCAAAAAATATCCTCTTCATTTTGGTCGCTTGTATCCCGCCCATTCAGAAACTATTGTGTGGTATGTTTTGATTTATTAAGATGCGATTTTGCAAGTTAATTCCACAAAAACTCTGAGTTCGGAAGAACTTAAAGTGTCTCGAAGAGAAAATTGCACATGCATTAGGCTAGAAAAATGTTTCGTTCTCTAGATTCTAAATCTTTTTTTCTACATACGATTCCTTCTAGGATGGGCCATAATTTTCTGTAGTTAGAAACAAAGTTAATTCCAAGAAAGCAGTGACAATCTGAGATGTGATTTTATCTACTATAGCTCAGCTGATAGGAGGGTTAAGGGAGACTGTGCATGTCAGAATTTCGTATATTTGAGTACTCACAATTGTCAGATACCTACCACGATAACAGAAGTGCATTTGTAAACTCGAACTGATTGATTACAAAAACAAAAAGGGACAAACTAAACTTAGAACATGCAACACCACTTTCATAGATTACATGGTTTAGGATTCACCACTGCACAGCTTCATATAAGCATCCAACCTTTACTGAACTTTTGAAAAGCGAACTGATAATTGCACTTGGATGTGTGAGTGAAGGAATCACAATATCAAGTGCTTCACTCCAGACAAGATAATCATAAATGCATCGAAAATGGTTAAGAACCACTCAAGAATTAAGAATGCTTGAAGTTTTTAAGACATCAAATGACTTTTGCGGCCTCAGTATCAGCCCATTGTTCCCATGTAAAAAGTTAATGAACACTACAAAACTGAAGATCCTCATTGTTTTCAGCACTGCACTTATGGTTCTGGTGTACTTGAGGGCATATTAAGCTGACGAGGGCGTGCATGAGGGCGTCTATGACTTGCGCAGGCTACGATTCACCATATGCGGTTAGTGGTTGATTGCATATCGCCAAAGTTGGACACGCATGTGCTGAAAAAACAGAAATATCGTGCATCAGTGTTGCAGACAGTGAATTCACAATACATTGGGGTCATAAGATGAGTTTTGCGCGAGCATAGTAAGCGTTGGTGATTTTGTATCAGATTGCATGACCTTCAGGCTTATACAAAGGAAAAAAATGAAAATTCTCCGGAATAGAATTTTATGTTTATTCGGCAAGTGTCAAACTCTTCCTTGCTGGTTGTCACGATATCAAGATATGGATCGATGCATAAAAAACGATAACGCAACAAAAGGAATGACTAAAAATGATAAACCATGTCATATGTCTTCTACATGCTGCAACAACTCAAATGCTTCTAGGATATATTGCTAGCAGCAGAAAACAGCTCGTCCATCGAGGGAACTCACCCTGTGGTGTACCACCGTACGGTTGATGCTGAAAGCCCCTACCCGGACGTTCGTTACCCAAGCTTGGAAATGAATAGAGGGCGGAGTGGTGCCCGAGGCTCATATCGATTCTCCTCCTTGCCGAGCTCACTCAGCGGGCACCGCTTCTGGCAATGCTCGCCCTCCTCCCGTTTCTCGCCGCTCATGTATTCGCCTTTGACCTTGAATCGGTAAGTTTGATTGGGATATGGTAGAATGGTCATTAATTACTGTAACTGTTTTCTTTACATGGTAAAAACAATGAATGAGATGATTTCATGGAATAAAATGAAACTTCTCGCATGATCATGGAAACATTTTGGCCAAATGATTGATTACATGGTTACGGAGAAGATTTTACTAATTTGAAAAGTGCATTTTTTGTGAAGTTCTCAGTATTTTTTAAAAGCACTGTCGAATACAAATCAAATAAACTGTAGCCGACGTTTTTCGCAGTCAGGCTGTCAAAAACTTCCCTTAATGCCTATTTCGGCGAGGAGAGTAAAAGCTTAGAGTAATGTTCGGTTTGAACTCATATTCTTGAATACCCCCAATCATCACCAACGATAAATACTTATTCAAGGCGGGCGACATGACGCTGTTGCCCTCTGGCGACTTTATCGACTTGATCTCAAGGGACTCGGAGAATGTGCCAGGACCGATAGCGTTCGGCAGCAAGTACATCACCGGTGGGTTACTTCCCAAATAGAGTGCCACTGCCTTTTTAGTTAAACTTTGAAGTTATTTTAACTCCGGAACTAGCTAAATAGTATAGCTTATGTCTGACAGCTATATCGATGACTAAGCAACCACCTTACCTAGTGCCCCCAAAAAATGAGTTTTTACAATTATTGGGAAAATGAGACCTAAGCACTCATCAATAAATAATGAAGGACCTTCACGCATGCAGGTATCCTTCTCATGTATATTTTTGTAGCTGACTATAAGAATATGTGAATGTTCAAAATAGTCAAAAAGCGTTAGATTTACGATTGATTTCTTGATTTTTTTTGTGACAGCTGACGTCAAAAGTACCCTCTAAATTTTGTAGTTGAAATGTTTCTGATCGTGTATCAAGAATCAGTTTGAGATACCTTTGTTCCTAGAACAAGCTGTTGATTATACAATTATGAATGCTTTTTTTCTTTCCTGAGAACTCTGTGAGCATCTGAGCGCAAATGAGCAGAAAATCAACTGAGCCGGGCAATAGCCACTCTTTTACAAAGTGCAACACTCCGGCTGGCCACCTCCTCTTGAATAATGTATTGTGCCTAATGTAATGAACTTATGCAATGAAGTTGTAAACATTCTCAGATAAGTCAGTCGGCGACCATCAAAAAGACTAGGCTTGTATCAGAATTAGCTGCGATAGAAAATTTTGTGAACTTATGTGCACCGTTATTGAAGTTAATATTTATGCAATCTACCAGCGTCATTTTATTCACGCCTGGACGCTTCAATAATCAATCAATATTTTCTATGCGTACTTTTTTTTGCTAAATATACCCAGCATGAACACTGAACGTGTGAAATAGTCTGAGCTTTGAGCAATTTGTTACGACAATATACGAACAGATTGTGACGTAAGTTTAATTAATCTGTCTTATTTGCTTTTGACGAACTTTAGTTAGGACGATGTACTGTACCTTTTGTCACAGAAACCACCTCTTTCTCGAAAGAAGTGGTTGGTTATTTCCGATCTCCTCCTCTTTTCCTTTCTGATATGCTTTTGAGGCGTATTCACTCTTTTATTTCTGCGTTACAATAATCCTCCCTAAATTGAAACATCTCATACCTTACATACACCAATAGTTGACAGAAAAGTAAACCTTTGTATTTGGGAGTAGAAATGATTTCTTAGAACAGGTTTGCAAGCTTTTCTGTTTTAGGCCTAAGGCATACTTCACAAGATTCCAGTCGCTGCGCGATCTGGCATTGCAGCGACTCTTCGTAACTGGTCGTTAGCACGCTTCGCATGGGCCAGACTCAAAGCTTTTGTTATAACTTACGGTAGCTACGCGCCTATGCACTTAGGACCCACACACAACTGATCTGCAAATATCTGGCAAACTGCCAAGTCGCGTGGATGTAGCGACTTGATGAAATCGCGCGAGGTATGCCTTAGGCCTTAGCGCTGCGCTAGATCTCAATGCGAATTTACGTAAAAAAAGCCGCTGCAGCTCTCCCTACAAGTGCAAATATGCTGCCATAGACCACTAAGATTAATTTTTGTCTTTTGTATGAAAGCACGCTACTTCGTTGTTGCATATGTTGTTAAGCAGCCCTCCAAACAAAGCTTAAAGATTCGAAAAATACAGGAATGATTTTTGATCGAAAAGAAAAGATTGCAGTAGTCATTTGCAGTGATATTACTGCTGAAGTGAAATCACATCTCAATGGTAGAGTTTTCTAGGAGGTGCCGGTGAAGGAGAACAAAAGCTTCGCGAAGAGGAGAACTTCCAACAAAGACAGGAGGTAGCGCTCGAATTGCTTGATCTGCATATCATCGTAATTTAAGCTAAGTGTCTAGGTGAAAACCGACAACGTTCTGCCAGCATACTGCGAGCCACCAAATCCATGCCCAGCTGGTTATACTGCCGCTGATGGATGCCTCGAGGAATTCGAGAATAGGCGAGTTGCAAATATTTCTGCCACTTGTGAATTCATAGCTCTGCATGCGAATAAGAAGCAGCAGAACAAAAACTGCAAGTTTTGTTTTATAATTCTATTTGTAATCATCATCACTTCTTCTTCCTCCAGTTATGGTTTCAAGCGGCCACTGTTATTTATTTGGCGAAGCTATGCTATTGTGAACATCGTGCGAAGATCATGCATGTGCACAAAATGTGCAAACTTTCACTTGACATATTTAGTTAAAAAATTATGACATTTTTCAATGATAGAAATCCCTGATTCTACTGGATGCTTTCTAGCTAGGTCATCTCAGCTTATAGCATGTGGGCTTGCTACCAACCACTTACATATATAGCTAGCAACTCATTCTTTGGGAACTGAGCGCTCCTCCTCTCAAGAATTGTCCGAGATTCGTTGCCTACATCAGTTTGAATTTGAAACAGACCACAGAGCATATGCAGCTTTAATCACTTATCTATTATGCGACCCTGCTTTCGTTAGTGAACGTTTTTGCGGTTTTTTTTTGGAATGGGTTATTCGCGCCTGAAGTTCGTTTACGGAATAAAAATTCAACCTCCCAGAAAATTTGTGTTATGCCTCTTGATTATCCAGCAATCAGCAAATCTGAAAATTTTGCAAAATATATTCGCACGAACAGGTCAACATAATGCAGAATTTTTGGTGAGCGTTTTCTGCAATCATGATGAGTTGTTTCCCAGAAAAATTATTTCCACGACACACGAAAAGAAAACTATGACATGGATGCGGTACATTAGTAAACACAACTGAATTAAGTTAATTAGAGACACAACACAAAATTCGTACATTTATTCCATTGAATTTTTGCACAGCTACTCAGAATATATGGTCTAATTGAGCTGAATATTTCAGTGCGGAATTTTCGCGAAACTACCAAGCTCAACAACACTGCATCTGTGACCAAGAACACATGTTCAAGTAAGTGCATTACATTCACTACTTCCCGCATGATATCGCTGAACATAACTTTCTTCGCAATAATCCTCCCTTTGCCATCATCCTAATTCTTCTACGAAATAAGCTTAGCTCGATAAGCGCATTTTAGCTGCGCTGAGAAGGAAGCGTCGGATATCGGTGCTTCACTACAAGAATTGCTGGATGATCACGCACTGCATCGTAACATGATCGCCAAGAAGTTCCATGAGAAAAGAAGCGCAGATGAGGTAGGTTGCGGATGATTCAGTCAGTTGTGAAGATCCTCGACTGCAAAACCCTTGTGAGTAAATATCACGGCTCAATAGCTCTTTTGTACAGTCACATCACGTCAGTCAGAGTCAGCCATAGAACTATGAAAAGTGTGCTTCCTTGAAAGACGCTGCTTATTGAAAGTTCCTTCCACAATGTTATGAAAAGCTGGACTGTGCTGCAAAAAAAGAATAGTGCTTTGCGCAGTTTCTAAGCCATTTATTGCCAAATTTCCGTTTATCTTTAGCCTAACTTTGCATGCAGCAGCCGAGGAAATGAGAAAGGAAGTAAACAGTTTACTAACTTTTCTTCTCAGCATCCGCCGCGTCGCAAGCGCTCAATCCGGCAGCCATTTCACCAACACAAAACGAATCCATTTCTGCAGGGCGAGGTGCTGAAGACCGTGCAGAAGAAGGATGGCAGAAATGCATGGTAGACGTGTCCTCATATTTCCTTATCACACATTCTCTACCCTACACACTCGATAAGTATCTACATTGATCTCCGCGACAAAGTTAGATCTCCACTGAATGGGTCAATTATTTAGCGTGTCTAAGAATTCTATATTTGCCTCAATAAATCTTTGTTGACATTATGTGTATATGCATATGTATATGGGCACGAGGATATCTAAGCGCCATTTCGCCAAAAATTACCTATGCCTCATGAGGTGTAGAAAAAGAGCAGCGCCAAGGAAATCAAAGCAGATTAAGACAACAAAAAAACCAAATATACTAGGTGGCTAGCAGGCGGCATGGATACTAGCCAAATATACTAGGTGGTTCGCAGGTAACTTGAAAAGAGATATGGAGGAGTATGAGCCAAAGCACGCAGTTTGATTAGTAGCTGGGGTGTCCCATGCGAGAAAATGCGGACACACTTGCTAAGCGACATGAATTTCATGATAAAATTTGTGCTTGGAAAAAATATCTCGAAAACTGACTTCCGCGGACTTCCTCTAGGCCTGGCACGTGTTGGTTTGGAGCATTCTTGGAGACGAAGTCTCGCATAACTTCGCGAAAATTTACGAAGTCCTCTTGACGTAAAAGCCAGTAGGAGAATCCCATTCAATCAAAACAAGAATAAAAAAGCGACAGTGTAACAAAAAAGCAAAAAGAAAACATTTCGAGTTGATTAAAGGCTCTGTCTCGGGTACGGTACCATTCTGAGGTTCAGAATGCTGAAAACCTCCTAGGCCAACCAAATCGGTGACCCCAACAATCTGGCGATGCATTTTTCGCCACATAGTTCAAAGGACACATCATATGATTGGAGCGCGATATCTATCAATGCGTAGGTTTACACCATTTTTGACTCAAAAAAAAGAGGAGAGGTAATGGTTTGATTCGCTCCCTTCGCTATATGATAGATTTTTGAGCACAATCGTCCAAATTGAAAAGTTCAAGAACTTATGTGGATATCTCTGATATTTATGCTCTGAACCAACCCAGCTGGTTTGGTGTTGGTCTAGAAACCAATAAATTTGGGAACGGGTGTTAGAATATATAAGTTTTTGAACTTTTTACATAATATAGTTTGGAGTAATATCGTAAACATATAGTCCTAATTCGGTGTCATATGATTGTTTGTGCGCTGTAAACAAGCCATTCGTTTGTTGGAGTCTTACGTTCAAAATCGCGCGCTTGCGACAGAACACGTTCAACTCGGAAAACCTGACACGTTTGTTTTTCTTCGGCGCTCCGCGAGACCTTATAAAAACGACCTTCAGGACCTTGTAAAAACGATATCCCCGTTGCTTCTTACCTCAAAAACGAAGTCCAGTTTGACCCCAGACCATCTGTGCCGGGCCCTGTTCCTGACTTCTTTGGAAAGTCAGAACCGTCGAAGACAACAGCATCGTAAATGTTCAGTCGATATTTCAAGAGCACTCAAACTCAGCAAGTCAATTTAGCCAGCTAGTAAATCACAGCACTTTATACTGTCTCTGAAGCTTGCCTAACACTGAACAGAGCTTTTAGAGCTGGTTGCAACCGAAAAATGCGCGATCTGAGGCAGTGCTCTGAAATATATTAGGTATTTACTTTTGAATTGCTGCCACAATTCGTGGAACAAAGTTGCGGAAAATTTTGGTAGCGCTTGATGCGCCTTTTCATTCTCTCTTGGATATGTGCTTAGTGCAGCGTAATTCGAGCTCCTGATCCCCAAATTCTGGAACCCATGCTTTTATCATGTTCAAGTTTCGCTAATTTTCTACAAATCTACACCGAACCTCCGAAAAAGCCTAAGTGAGTGTTAGAAGGCGCAAACCCTAGGACACAATGGAATTTTCCCTCTTTCCAGAACGCACCAAAAATTTCGTGAATTTCTGAATAGCACTGAATTTGGCAAACGTAATTCAGAAATTCTTTCGCTTACGTTTTATTTCACCCGTTTCGGAAAACACCCTTATTCTGCAAAGGTCACTGATGAAAGCTTGTGGTAGTATCTGAGCCAGTTTTTCATAGTCTCTTCAGTGGTCGTCCTTTCAAGTCTCTATTCATATAAGGTTATGGCTGCTAAAGTTTACACCCAATCTTTAGTACGCCCAATCTTTAGTGTCAAAAGCCGCTCACCAAAAATTTTATAGTGGCTCCATGAGGGAGTTTAAATATTTTAAAGAGTAAACCTTGTACTGCAAACTTGTATTTTGTACTACAAATCCTTACCTCACTTCTCTGCTGCCTTGTAAGGCTTTTCAGATTTTGAAAAGATGCAGCAGCTTTGATGTCTCAAGTTCATCTCGAACATCAACTTTTTTCGTAAAAGAATCATTGGAATACAGGAAAAACACTAAAAGTATAGTCAACAAAGCAATCTCCATTCTGCCAACAGCCTTTATCCACCTTCCACAGCAGTTCATTCCACTGTTAGAAATTTCTTCAGTTCTTCAATGTCATAAAGTTAGTGACGATATGTTATCCAGAAACGATAATGTCTTATGAAAATCGAACACAGTCACAAGAGATTGCGCCATGCAGGGCTGATCAGACACACACCTCAAACTTGAGTAATCAAATCTTTCACAGGAGATAAAACCGACACAAAATACGTTAAACGTATACAGAGTGTATAGTTCACAAATAACGTAGAAATAACAAAATGACATTGAAATATGTGGAATGAGGATGCCTAGTAAACATATGCTGCGTCCATAGGCGCGATAAGGTGAGAAAAAGTTACAAGGACCTGCAGGATCTCGAGAGTCGGACATGCGTACGGCCATTGCGCCGCGCACGTCAGATTGCGTCCGAGACTCAAGTAAGTGCCAGACTTATCCTGTTAAACAGGATCATTCGGTTCACCACCTTTATTGTTGGACAGTGTAGTGATTTGGCCTATGAACCGAACGAACCGGCTGAAGCAGATAAGTCTGGCACCTGCCTTAATGACATCGGACGTGCGCGGCGCAATGGCCGTACGCACGTCCAACTCTCGCGATTCTGCAGGCCCCTATAACCCACTCCTCACTTTGGAGGAGTGCATGTCGAATGGCGCGCGTTTTGGCAGCCGTCATTACCAGACTGGATCCGTTTGGTACAAAAGCGAGGTTTCTAGGTTCCGAGATTCTTGTCATTGCAAGAGGAAGTGTAACTAAGGATAATTACCCAAAATCCGAAAATAGCAAATTGAATTTAAACTTATTTATTGTTTCTCCCAGTTAGTAACAATCGATCAATACGCGCCATCGACCGTCTCCCACTTTGGAGCCTGGATCCCCCTTTCTACCTGGGCCAGAGCAGAAAATTTTAAGAGCAGGAAATTTTGAGAGATGTGGGAATAAACAGGAGATCACGGAAATATGTAGTGGAAGGATGTACTTTTAGGAGATTTAGCGATCGTGGAATTTTTTTAAATACGATTTTGACGGAAAATACGTTCAATAGATAATGGCGGTTACTCACCGGCATGGCGGCACTAATGGGCACTCTTAATCAGGACTCACAAGTAATATTATCAGGATCGAGCAGGAAATGTGGCACACAATCGCCGGGGACAACCCCTTCCTCCTAAGTTCTATTTCCCTCCCCTCCCCCCCCCCCCCCCCCCCATGCCAGCATTATGTCTGCCTATCGTAGGCATGGCTTAAAGGCTCCAAAAAGCATAATCAGTACGAAGTTCGTAATTACCATGTCAATTAATCCCCTGTGGTCCAAGTTTTAGCGAATTTTGGGGGTTCCCAATATTTGGCCACCTAAATTGAGTCATTTTCAAACATGGTTTTAGCAAAGCTTTAGGGGTTGTGCCACACCCCATTTCACCTTCAAAGCATTCGAATATCCGTGTCTTTCATTAGGTCATTCCGAAAGCAATTTCGCTTTTTTCAAACGGGCACCACATTTAATAGAGCAAAGGTTTTTAAGAGATCTTGGATGCATTCGATGCAGAATTTCATTCTCTTTCTAAAGGTTATGAAATTGCTGCAAAACAGTCAATGAGCTTTCAGAAAATAACCAAAATTTGCGACCCATGCCTTTGAGATGGTCAAGTTTCACGATTTTTCAAAACTTTCATATCAATCTTCAGAAGGAGTCCAAGTAACCATTCGATGAAGTAAACCTTATAGAATACAGAACTGCTTTTTTCCCCTTTTCATATCTTTTCATACATTTTCAACAGAATTTTAACTGATGCCACCGATTTCCATATCTGGGCAGCTAAATCCTCGTAGAACATCAAAAGAAGAGCAGCTCGCGCATCATTCAATGCAGCATTTCCTCCTCTTTCTAACAGGTGTTTTTCATTTCCGATTCGTTTAGTTTCCGGGGATAAATTATCATAACTCATTTTTTTAGCGAGCCCCAGGCTGTACCCGAAAAACACGAAATTTGAAATTTCGAATCCGTAAACCCTCACTTGATTTGTAAAATTAATGCTAACTCATAGTACCATTTTGGTAGTCTCAAATTCCGAATAATTACGATGTTTGATGCGATTGTGGCCGATGTGGGCCTGCCAAAATCCGATGGTTTTGATAAAAAATCTTTCAAAAAATTACGGCGAGCTAAGAGAAACGAAAAAAAAGTAGTACTGTATTCTATAAGGTTTAGTCTATCGAATCTTTACTTGAACTTCTTCTGAGGATTAATATGAAAGTTTTAAAGAATCGTGAAACTTAACCATCTCAAAAAGCATGGGTCGCAAATTTTGGTTATTTTCTGAAAGCTCATTGACTGTTTTGCAGCACTTTCATATCCATTAGAAAGAGAATGAAATTCTGCATCGAATGCATCCAAAATCTCTCGAAAACCTTTGCTCTATTAAATGTGGCGCCCGTTTGAAAAAAGCGAAATTACTTTTGGAATGACCTAATATATCGTTGCACTGCTAAAAGGTCCTTCTCTATACGGTCAAAATCTCGTTTGGAATCGCCTCTCCTAGGGAAAGTATAGTCGTTTTCCTTACCTAAGCATGTGGAAAATTGTGCGAAGTTAATGGATTACGGTAAGGTTGGAGAGTAATGTATCTAAGTATTGTATCTAATTTGTATCATCTTATCACTGCCTTTTGTTCTAATTCGATCCCTAGTGCTTTGTTGTGAGCTTCAAACTCTTTCGCATGTCGCGACTGTTCTCATAAAGCTCTCCTGGGCGGTATTTATCAATTTCCTGTATGGAAAGGGGTTCCTGTACAAGTCACAGCCCGTACGGGCGCAAGCACTAGCGCCCGCGATATAAGAAGCGAAAATGGTGATTGAGCTGCTGCCCATTTGGCAATATTAGAGAGAATCGATTACGCCAGCATTGCAAGCTGGCGCGTACCCAAGATATCTATTGGCGCAAGCTTGATGCAGCGTTGCGGCGCCATCTAAATCTACTTAACGGCTATGCGAGCGGTCATCACTGCGCGCCGAGACTTAGGGATCGCTTGCTGTCAGCATTTCTTGAATGGCTGTTGCGACATATGAGAGGGTTTCGGTGCGACAAGTATTGCTGCTAAGTTCCATATTGGCGTCTTGAACTTGATTGCCTTTTAGTGATGAAAGTGCTGCAAGTACCAATAAAATTTACTTACACTTCTATATTCCTTTTTGAGTTGAAACGCTCTTATATCAGGTCCGGTATAGTCATGTTCTCGCACAAATGTTGATCAGTGGGTATGATCTTGCGACCACTTCTGTTTGCTACTAGGCACATAATCTTGAGCTACGAAAAAGCTAGAAATAACTTCTGCTAACAAAATAACTTTTCCTCCCTAATGCAGCTTAATACTATGCTTGGCTGTTAAGAGTGGTTTTCCATATGGGAGCTTCCAGACCACGCCGGTTGCCGCTTTTGCAGCTGCAGCCGCTTTCGCGACGTTGCCGATTTTGCAGTCGAAACGCGCTGGGTCAGATTTTGTATGTGAGGCGCGTAGGAGTGGCTTATTCGCACCGATGTGATAATTGCATGGTATTTTGATTCCTTTGCCGCTATTCTTTTGTTTTGGTGGTTCTCTTTTACTTGTAGTGAAAAATCGTTGCAGATAGTTTATTTGATGTGGCCACTTTTTTCGCCGTTCTATGACGTTAGTGCGGTAGAACTTCTCAATGTCTTTTCTTTCTTGGAGCTCGTCTAGTGTGATAGATGAACGATTTCGATTAAGACGATGTTTTCTTCTACTTTTTTTTTGAAGCGTTCTTTTATTTTGCTGTAGAAGCGACATCGATGTGGAACAAAAACCTACTAACTTTGTTTTTGGTCCTGTTTCATCATACTGGATGATTCTCTGAGGAGCGGTGGATATTGGGAAACAATGTTTTTTGTAAGTAGACGAGCCTCACGAAAAAACCTTCAAAATGATACTGGAATTGTTCACTCAGCGCAGTGAAGTAGGACCGAAAGCAAAAAATCATACTGCGAGATCTCTTCCACAACGATGTCATTCCTACGGTGTAGCAAAAAGGAAGTATAAAGAACAATGTTTCGCACAGATATTGGTCACCTAGCACAAAATATCATCAAAGCGAAGGCTTAACCGGAAAACATCTTTTTGCAAAGATGAATAATGCAGCGACTAATGGATTGCTCGAAACCGCCCGCCTTGTACACTGTCTAAACAAGGTTGAAATGTTCCCGAGAATAATCCTAGATTAAACAGATTACAACTATTGACTTCTTAAAGGCAGTGTCCGGGCAAAAACTCGATTTTGAGATTTTGTGCTTATACGGGCCTGTTCGCCATGCTGAATCCGAAAATTCACCTTGGAAAGCGCGAAAACGGCGAAAAAGGGCTCTAATACAGGAGGGAAATTAGCAAGTGGGCGTGGCTTTCCCCAGTGCGATTTCACGCTCCCAGCTTCCGGAGCGATTTGCTCGATTCCGCTAGCCGTCCTAACATCGCTACCGGCCAAGTGCGAATGACTGACTTGAAACCGGAAGCGAGAAGGTCGCTCCGGAAGCCGGGAACGTGAATTCGCAGTGGGGAGGACCCCGCCCGCCTGCTCATTTCCCTCCTGTGTTAGAGCCGTTTTTCGCCATTTTCGCGCTCTACAATGTGCATTTTCGGATTCAGCGTAGCGAATAGGCCCAAGTAAGCACAAAATCTCAAAATCGAGTTTTTGCCCGGACACTGCCTTTAACACACTATGGAGCTTGTTCGACAATGTGTGCGGTTTCGAATCCAGTCACAGAATAGATGGTAGCTCAACTTGCTAATAACATAGCTTCAAAACTTCCAAACGAAATGGAAAATGAAAATGAAAGTTGGGTGAAAAAGCTTTTTGATCTCACCTTCGTATAAAATAGCGAAAAAAAGCAACGGAGGCCACATCAAAACCATATCTGCAACTAGACTGCTCACTATAACACAGAAGAGAACCTTTAGAACGAAAAAATAGGGGCAAGGGATTAAAGTCCACACAATCATCACATCAGTGCGATTAAACCCCCTATGCGCCCTACATGCAAAATCTGGCCCAGCGCGCTTCGGCTGCAAAAGCGGCAATCGGCGCGAGCGGCTATCACCTGCAAAAAGAGCAACCGGCGCGGTCCGGAGGCTCCCTATCTATGATGAGTTCCTTTCACCCAACCCATAGGCTTTCACTGATTAGTGAAATGAATCTATCACTATGCATAGCAGGGGATTAATTCTGCATTTTCTTCTTGTTCAACAGAATCTAAGTAAGAAAAAAACGTAGTATTCTTATCTGCATTGTCTGACATAGAAACTCGCTTTTTCTGAGCTAAGTAATCAAGCATTCAAGTCAAGTGGTATATACAATATCAACTGAGTCATCACAAGTGTAAAAAAGTTCACGAGCTCCTAATTTACAACGTGATAGATGGAGAGTCAAGTTTTGGGCCTATGAAGGCCAAAGTACCGGTTTGTATGATGATAGATAGTGAATTGATCGGAACCTTCTTCTGCCTTTCATTATGCGAGAAAACATTTTCCAAATATAAAACTTGGTGTAAGAATCTCGTTCCGCAAAAAAGAGTTATTTCGCAGGACATGTTCCAGAACTTTGGAAAAGATCTCTAACGCCAAAATGAGGTCATTAGCCTGACCTATTGGTACTCTCGACGAAAACAGTTACGAATGCGGTGTAGACCATATTCAGAACAAAGTAATCTTTGGGATGAAAAAGTAAAATATTTTAAACACCACTCGGTATCCAGCTGCTTTACAGTCTTCTCACCCATCTCTAGCTGAAGAAAGTACTCGCTCCATCACCAGTAAAGCTATCAAACGCAGTGACAAAGGTAATGAAGCAAGCACTTATACATCCCAACGTTTATTCAGGGAATCAATGCTGACAACAAGCGAGCTCTAGGTCCCAGCGCGCAGTGGTGGTGCGCGCGATCCCCCCCCCCCCCCCCGCAGCCATTGAGTAGATTTAGACGGCGCCCAGCGTCGCTCGCATGACTCATTTCCGTCTTTCCGTCTCGTGTTATCTTGCATACGTTTCCTCTCGTGATGTCTCTGTATTCTCTTACAGGTTTTCCTCAAGACTTCATTTTTTCAATTCCACGTTACTGCATGTTACTTTGATGTTTTTTCTTACAGTTCGCGCATGTTTCTTCAATACTCTCCTAATTCCCCATAGATCCCACTTTTGACATTCTCATACTAGTGCATTACTCGCAATAGTATGAGAGTGCGAAGTGTACTTGATGCAATCAAATCAAAGTATTGTTTGATGAACTTGTAAGTTCCAGCTGGTGGTGAAATTATCGGCTAGCAAAGAAATGGTCGGAGTTGAAAAGGCTTCTATCTGCATGACAATCTCTTCTTATTGATTAAATCATTCTAATAATAGACTCATGCTCCATCGATGTCACTAGAGGAACTAAGTATAATAGCCAGTTTTATGCCGATAATTATGATATTATTCATGTTTTCCTGGCAGGCTGTAGCCGTTTACCCTCGGCGAGAGAAGGATGACTCTTTCTTAACATTTTTTGGAGTTAGTCATTTAGGAAAAAAAGGCCAAATTGGAACAACTGAGTCAGGCTCTGGAAAGCGCGCACCCCAGCGAATTACAACCCAACTAGATCAAAGAACACGAGACAATGAAAAAAGTGAAACACTTGTGGCACAAGAGGTGAGTGCGGTTGTCGATACATTCCACTCTGCACTACAGCTCTTTTAAGAAATCTGAATTAAAGAAAACTTTAGGACGGATTCAGCAAAACTTAGACTCCCTTTCCACATTGCCATCTTAGAATCATTATACTACATGCCAATCTGTTCAGGCTGCTGTCTTTTATCCTTTGTAAAGAGGTCGTAAGTGATGCTGCGTATACGGACGGGTCTAGAGCTTTTATGGCAGAGTATGGAATAAGGGGACGCCAAGTTCCCGCAGATTATCATACTGCGGTCAGGACCAGTGGCGTACCCAGAATTCCCGCTTGGGGAGGGGTGGAGGAGCGGAAATTTTTCAGCGATTTTACGCTCAGCTAGGAGAAATATTGTGAAAACTTTCAAGTTAAATTTTACGATCCCTAAGAATTAAAAGAATTTTTCTGTAAAAATTGTAACTTACTATATGATAAGCTAGGAGAGTCTATAGCACTTTGGAACACTTTGGATAACTGGGACTCGCTGGTGGAGGAAAGCAATTATATGCAACGCTTTGGGTAACCGGGTCTCGGTGGAAATGAGCTTCCACTTGCTGAATCTCTTCCAGCATCACGTCACTGATTTACTTGAGAGGTGAACTTCCAACGAACTTTAAGGTCAAAAGTACAGCGTAGATAGGATCTTAATAATCATAGCATCAGGGATGTTGTAGACGCACCCGGCACCCGCCCGTCGCTTGTGACGAACGGGAAGGAAAGAAAGCAACGCAGGTTTTTCTGGAGTGAGACGGGCTCATTAGGAAAAGTTCGGCGTAAAACCGCGAGTAAACGGTCTCGCTTTTGGCATGGAAGTGTGCGGAAATGATATAGTAAGCGTAAACAACATGTTTCTAATTATTATATCTGGTTTTTTTGAGCCGCCGACGAATCCTAAGCGTACTATGTGTGACGAAAGACCGAGCGATTTGAAGAACACACAAAACTATAGGCTCACTCACGTGATAAATAAAGCTTTGTTTAACAATGTCTAGTTCCAAAACATCACCAAAAAAAGGTACACACGAAAGAAGAAAGAGATTTCTCATACGAAATTCTCAAAAAAAACTTTTCTTTACATGATTATAGGTAAGTCTGCCCTCTTTCATTACTCGATCTAAGAATTGTGTCTATGTTTCAATGAAGAACCGTAGACTCCAACATCCACTGCGCATATTCGAAAGAACCTTCGCATCCTTAGTCAACCAATTGCATGGGCAGTGTTCAAGCTGTCAACCTCACCGCCGAAACTCCATTGAACATGCAATCTCTCAGCATAGCGAAGATAAAGGCCAAGGTAAATCGACAAAAGCTCATGCCGCACAAGTCCCCGATCCGTTTTCAGGGGAAAACCAAGCCATGACAGCTTGAACTGGAACACCTCAGACTGAAAGTGAAGAATGAAAGATCCTTGATTAACAGCTTGTGAATGAACGATTGAAGAAGCAAAAACTACTGTTGCAGTCGAAAATGATAGGAAGAAAGCAGCCTAATTGACTGATGATGCATCGAACAATGCAAGTGTACAATACCGCTCACAGGGTGTGCAAAATTTCCGTGAATGTCGCGAAGTTTCGCGAATTCCGCGCAATTGACAGCCTGAAGTGCGGGATTTGCTAGTCAAGGTACGAGGGTGACTTCATATCATCCCGAGTAGCGCTGACGAGCAAATGCCAGGTAGTCATTTATATGCATTTTTGTATCTTTTCTTTGCATGATAAGAGCGAACTCTAAGCTCTTCTGTAGGTGGGGGTTTATAAGGAGTGCAAAGTACATTTTTATGCATATCTTTGTGGAAAATGGGGACGTGGTACCCGATTTCTGTTTCTAATCGAGTGGGCTATTTCAGGAAATTTACAGAAAAATCGGATTGAATACACAAGGAGCTGCTCTAAGAACGTCCCGGACTTCAAAATTTTCCGGAGGAAGTATGTTATGATAGATCAAAATAAAATAATAATTCCAGGAGAATGATCAAGGCATGGGCATAGCAATAATTCGGTACAACCCTTCTTGCGCTATCAAACGGAGAAGAAAGTTGTTCAGCAGCATGAAGAGGAAGAGGCGCTGTCCTAGAGCATCTGGAGATAGTTTTTCTTAATTTGATCTCTGATCTCTTTATCTCTATATATAAATCAGTCATGATCATGGTATTGGTTTGGTGGTAGTTAGTGATATGTTAGTGCCCCAGGCATGGAGGGTTCTAATGGGAAGGTGGGCAGCGACTTGGGTGTGGGCGAGGCCAAAAGCGGGCGGAGTTAGATGAGAATTCGGCTACAATCGGGTGGATTTCGAGCGATTGGATGGAGAAAAGTGGGAGTTGATGGGGGAAAGTTGGGGCGTACTGGGCGGGGCTTCGATAGGGACAATATTACTTCTTCAGCCACCATGTCCTACAGTAATACAGGCGTCAGCTCAATTGGGTGTTACGAACGTCACACATTTGACGCCTACTTTATCGGGTGGCTTCACTGCGCGAAAATATTTCGTTAGAACAGTTGAATGATCGAAGTGGTGGCGCTTTAGATTTGGATGCGTGTTAGTACTTATCAAACAAACAAAGTTTGCAAGTCCTTCTTTTGAGAACGAGTGCTGACGCCTATGTACCTCACACGCACTTCTGATTCTAAAAGTTACGAACTGCTTGAAAAGCCAATGCTTATATCGTAAAAGGACTTGCTGTCCACGATCATTTGCATGACGATTCACATATGATACAATCAAATTCTTGGCAGTCACTTGCAAACGTTATAACCCGGACATTTCATTTTTTATGTGACGAACGTGTATTCTCTTCTACTGGCTTGACATGCATTAGCTTTAGCTCAGCCGGGGATGTCGTCGTGGTTTAAGGCTAAGCTTCTACACAAATCAGCGCTGTTTGCAGAAGTTCGCTCCGCTCTAAGTGACTCTCCGCGCAAAGTCCTGATAGCCTACGAACTCGTGTTTGTGTTTTACTTCCACGTACGAACTCCACCTTCGAAGAAAGTCGCTTGAAAGATACAGAGATTACATACAGATCAATCTACAAGCATATTATAATATAAAAATTGATTGAAGGAGCTTAAATTTGCAAGCTCACTTAGTGTCGGTTACCTGCTTGTTTTTTTCTAAAGGGGAGCTTAATTGAAAGGACTTGGGAACGTGACTGTCAGCTGGTAAGTGAGAACACAGCAACCTATACATTTAAGAGCAATCGTTCAAAACCAATGAGAAGTTGTGAAAGGGGACACCTGAACCTCGTTTTTTCCTTTATCTTTTCGCAGCCTTACATGATTGCAACTTGTCTTTGGGCCTTCATGGCTGCCTCAAGGAGCATTCTTTTGTATATTCTTCTTCCATTTTTTTGTTTTGTTGTTTCCATGAAAAAAAAACAACAAAGTGTTTTTGGAGGATTTGAGGGTTCTCCATAAAAACGAACGGTTTTCTGTTTTATAGCGAGCGAAATCTTAGTTTGATACCCCTTACAGACAAGCACTACTTACCCTACCTGTGCTTCCAAGCAAATCGTGAAGGTAAACGTTGTGTCATGAGACTGAGGACTCAATAGACCTTTACGACGGGAGTGTGGTAGACTTTCAGGCTCGAAAGGAAGTAAAAAGCAACTTGAAGCCTGTCATGTACAGATAACCGCCTCTTATGCGAAAAAAGCGAACAGTCACGTACATTCCAGGTGAGACTTCAGAAGCTGAAAACGTGGACTTTGCTGAACTCCCAATCAAAACTCAAATCGAGTTAACTGAACATGCAACCTTGCATTATCATACTGCAAGATAAGCTGCATTTACTTTGAAGAAAGAACCTATTTTTCTGTTTGATGGCCGTGAATTTCGCAGCTGTTGAGCGTAAAGCTCAGATACGACTGTTCTACCAACTTCTAATTCGTAATGCAACATACCCTTCAGCTCAACATAGGATCAGCATGCACTTCTTCTGACACAAATCACGTCTGCGAATGAATTTGGGACTTTTCTAGAACACTATATTTGCGTACCTCTGGATTTTGGGAGTGAATCCGATTCCCACCACCCGTAACTATCTTCCAAAAAAGTTATTCTCGTCAGATTTTCTGAAAAGAGAAGACCAGATTCTTAAGCGCTGCATTTCTTGATTTTCATAATCAGTGGCAAGAGGAACACATTTCCTGTACTTTTGTAATTTTTCCTTCTTCTATAGCCCCTTATAGAAGGTGCTCTTTTCCAGTTCTAGCTTGTTCGCGATCTTTAGCGTTATTCTAAATTTTCGTTCAGAAGCGAATGTATGCCATCCGCACTGACGCATTTCAGATAGCCTGCTTTGTTCATCTTCTAGATAAGTCCTCGTCCAAACATCAATAATAACTGCTAAACCACTGTAGTCCTGAATGCAACATTTCCCTAGACTCCACGAATGCTTCTAGCAGCATTGGCGGCTGACTTCCCTTAATGAAAGTCGTACAACATGCTATAAGCAGAAGCATTGTTGAGGCACCTGACCGAAGACTTCACGTTATAGAATAACACAGCCTATGGGGTAACTAAGCCATCCTTGTGAAGCTGGAGAGCGATCCTCGTCAACCAGTGCAAGGTAGCACCACTGGTCTCTCTGCGAGTTTGCATCACCAGTCTCAAAGAAGAAAACTTATTGGGTCAAGCTTACTTTGAATCTAGGCTTTAGAGGATTATTTGTTACCCTCCCCTCCCCCCCCCCCCCCGAGAAATTACTCAAGTGAGGAAAAGAACTTGTTTCAGGTAGAGTCTGCATCTTCTCTGTTAATAAAGAAGAATGAGAAAACTTGAACCTGAGAAAAAGTATGTGTCGAACATAACCATTTGGAAGAAAATGGGAAGGCGCATGGAACACTGCTATGACTTTCCGGGATCTTTCTTCCGCAAGTCATGGCGACCGTTCAAAAAAGGCGAAAATTCTGGACACACAATGTTAATCATAGGTGAGTTCACTGCAATGCAATAAGTGAGATTTCTACCAAATAAAAACCCTCTGAGAGTTTTCAATTGGCACGGGTTTTTTTCGAGTCATAGATGATACAAAGTACAAAATGTCTTCATTTCGAAGTTACCTGCGATAAAAAAGCAACCATAATAAAGTGACTACATCAAAAGTACACGAGGAAAAAAACGGATTATACAGGAGGCTGAAAAGTATGTATACACTGGATCAATAATACCTCTTTTCCCAAGAAGTCTTTTGCCCACTTTCAGGTACAGTTTTGTAGAGCTAGCTTCAACTTACATTTACAGTGTGCAGCGAATCACGGATCGCTCTTCACTACTGTGAGATTACGGTAGGAACCTTCAGCTTGTAGCGTTATTACGGGTTTACCGTGCTTCAAAAAAGTTTCCAAAAAAAGCGGTGTACAGAGTTTTCAAGTTCGTTAGTCAGTTTTATTATTCAATTTTTACGAGTTTGCAAGAATGGTATAATCACGATTTGTGGATCTTGTAAAAACATCTACTGCGGTTTACCTTGCACAACTTATGAAGGAAGCATTGCGGTGAAGTGCAAACATAATATTTGGTCTTAGCGGCTTGATTTGACCTAGTACAAAAGTTTTCTGATTGTTCGGTTTGCTTTCTGAGGCAAAAAGAGCCTTCAATGGCTCACCTCTTCTTCATATTACTACCGTAATCCTTCAATAATGAAAAGCTACCGGTGATTCGCTTCATACTGTAAATCTAACAAGTTCAAGCTCAGCTCAGTAAGTTCAAGCCAGCTCCATAAAATGGTGCTTAGAGGTAGGCAAAAGACTTCTTGGGAAAAAAGATATCAACGATCAAACGTGTATGCATACTTTTGGGACACCCTGTATAACCCGACGGGGCGCTTGCGGGTCCCCCTTAATGCTTTCCCTCCTTCTCATCCCAGCTAGGGGCGAAGCCGTGCTAGCTCACTCCAAGAAGAAAAAAAGTAGAATAGCAGAATCGAAAGAGGTATCCTTTTGAGGACTCCCAACAAACAATCTATGGACGAAACTCCAACCTCGTAATTTAGACACCAGAATTTCCCACCCGTCGAACCACATGCCACCCTCGTCAAACCTTTAAAAACTCCTATCCGAGGGTGACATTCTCAAACTTTGCGATTGAACCATAATACAAAATGCACATCAAAGCGCTCGGTTCCCAGTAAATAGGGTTTTATGAGAGCTTAAATGTTTCATATGTTTTCCAGCTTACCGTTTAGCATACAATTTTCAGAGTAATAGAAAATAGGGTCTCAATGAGATGAAAGCACACACCCTTTAATGGTCCTAATGTTGTCCAATCGTTTCCATCTGGAGCTTTGCCCATTCCCTGCGCAAGTGCATCGCTTTAAGTATGGATAAAATCATAAGGAAGTGTGGTGGGCAATTTGGCTTAGAGCTTCTCCGCGGCCTCTTTCTAGATCGGTCCCTTGACAGCTTTTAGGCTAGTGAAGCAGAAACACAGTATACATGATGTGAATTCCGAATTTAGGACCGGGATGTTTTCATGCAGCGGAAGCGAAAACGTTTCAAAATTTTCGATTTCGCAAGCTATCTTGCATAATGCATTCCGCAGCTCCAGGCGGAAAGCTCTGCAGGCGTATTCAAACTGAAGACACCGTCGATGATGTTTGAAGTACATACAGAAGGCCGCTCATTGAAAATAGGCGATTGTGGCGCTTCAAGTTGAAACCGGAGCGGTGGTTACGCACGCTGGCTTCACAAAGTGATTCGCGTATGGAGTGAAAGCTGCCACGGGATCACTCTTTCTCCAGCGCTTTCAAAAAATTTTTTTCTATGAGACCTTTACCCTTATACTTCCCTAAAGACCGATCCCCAGTGGTCTAAAGCGTCGAAGTGCAGATATCCAAAATGAACGCGAAAAGTTCGTATAGGTTATGTTTCGACATGAAGAACAACTTTGGCGTATTCAGTAGAAGAAAATAAATAGGAATTGGTGAGAAATGTCATAGTTTGGAGTGATGGAGTTTTATGTCGATCTAGCTATTTGTGTGACTGTTTTTTGAAGAGGTGAGACTGTTAAAATTTTTAGTTGGATGCACCGTATGCAATTCTGCATACACTTGCCTCGCTTTTGGCCGCTTTATGGCCGAATGTCGCCACCTAATGGCGGCACTCTTCGCCAGGTCGACAATTCCTATGTAATTCTTTCCTCTTCTTCATATGGTAATGTCGGCGTTCGAAGCAATGCACTTACCCTGTTCGTATAGGCTCGGCAAAGTTTTATCTTGCGGCTATAAGTCAAACAGCTAATGTAGGAAGGAATCAGAATTCCTAAATCAAGCATGCATGATGAGACCACGTATTAGAAACTCCATTAGATCCTATCTTGGACAGAGTAATGTGTTAATACAGCACTCCATGGAATCCTCAGCAAGTGGAAAGACCAGCGAATGACTTAAAATAAAGAAAATATCTTACCGATGCAGTGTTCCGTGCCCAAGCCATACGGAGAAGAGGTGGAAAAAGACACAGTGTAGTGTGCACCAGAATGATACTCAGAAATCATACAGTATGCAACTACGAAGTGAAATATGTTATATTAGAGCAGTGTATCTGAAAATATTAAAGCATAATTATATATTGTGTGTGTTTATGTGTGTACGCGTGTGTGTGTGTGCATTTTAACACATTAACGACCAAGGCGTTTAATGTACGTCAACATTTTTAGATAAAGTCACGCGCAATTTCATCTACAGTACACCTACAGTAACCCTGAAATGCTGACAATAACAGTAAGGTCGTGTCTAGATCCAGCACAAAAGAAAACTCTTGGAGTCGGTTTAACACAAAATAGTAGCCATTTCAACGATACACATGGTGTGTCAAGCCCTGACACAGCATATGTGTCAAGCGGTCGTCAATGTATTAAAGCATGTGTGTCATAAGAATACTAGCTAATATGTGGATAATGTTACGTAAGATACAACGTAAACTTGTAAGATGGGTGTGTATTGGATCTTAAAACGAGTATATGGCTGAATTATTCAGCATCATTGTCTCGAAATATGTATGCGACATTTCTATTTTCTGCAAGTTATCATGTATACAGTCGTGTTTACCTTTACGGTCTATATCGGCAGGTTATCGATGGTTATACCTCATGTAGAGCAAAAAAGCTCAGTTTGAGAGAAACGTAAACAAATTCTAATAGACTGGGTTAGTTACGCGCATGCAGAACCCAACGAGAAGAAGCCCAAAAATTCTTGGAAGGCCTAGTCTACGATAGTTTAAAATTATGAAGTCATTTTAATCAAATGTTGAAATTAGGTTGGCTGGGTAGATATCCGAATTCAAAGCAGGCTTTACCGTTAGCTCCACATGAATTAGCGGTAGTGTTTCGGCTTTTTGAGTAAGTACCCAAAACTTTGCTTATAGAAGGCAGAAGGCAATTCTCCTGACGAACTTGAAAGCTACTCAAACGATGTAGCATATTATGAAGGCCTTTGCCTCGAAGGTTCTTACATTTCAACAGTCTCTCAGGAATGCTACCACATGGACAGCGAATCGTAGAGACAGAAATTCTGTGACCACTGAAGAATACGTCTAACGGCAAAGCTTCACAACCGGACATTACAATACCGCTCACATTTTTTGAAAAATAGACGCGTGGACATGGACATGTACGGACATGTACGGACATGTATGGACATGTCCGTACATGTCCGTACATGTCCATACATGTATGGACATGTCCATACATCAGCGTCGCGTGGCCATATCTCGCTTCAGAGTGGACGAATTCTGAATCCAAAGTCGCCAATCGATTCAGCTCGGCGCGGAGAATCTTCTGATATATTGGAAGTGGGGGTACGATGTCTTCGATATTCCGTTTCCAGTTTTTTCAATTTGTTCTGCGGAGGTCCTTTCGCGAAAATGTGAAGCAATGCCTACCCAACATAGAAGACTTTACTGAGTACTCGATAATACTGTTCTTGTAGATTATTGTGCGCTAAAAACCGGCTCAGACTTCTTTCCAAAGGAGATAGAAGCGTTGGTGAACTTTGGAAAATCACGCGTTTTCAAATTCTACTCGCCATAACTTCCATCGGAATAAGTATATTTTGAATCCGAAAACAGCGCCTTGCTTAGCTCATCAAGGCGAATCTTCACATATACAGCATGTCCTTGATATGTCGATTTCAGTATTCTTTCTGAGGACGTCTTCTCGCGAAGGTGTAAACCAGCGAGCAGACCCGAGTACATTCCAGCAAGGATCTTTCGATAGCACTTTTTCTGTAGATTATGATGTGCTAAACATAGCCGCAGTTTCTTTTCAAAGGAAATAGAACGGCTGGTGAAGTGTGGAAAAATCTTGTCGTCCCAAATTCTACTCGCCATAGCCGCAGGATACGAAGCTATCTTAGCAGATGTGAGTTTCGAAATCAGCAGGTCGCATAACCTCTACGAGCAAGTTTTCCGATATGTTCGGGTTATTCTATTTTTTCTCGTTTTACGCTCCGGAAGATCGCCGATGGATTTTGGTCAAAATCTTGATGCTCTTGAATTGTAAGGAAACTTCGCTCATAGGGGTTTTCGAACACGCTCTTTATGAAAATCGTGGTCTTTGAGGATTACAGGGTCTTTTTGGAGAGATACGGTGAGGTGACTGTAACTTCATCACGAAAGTCCGTAAGTTTGGCCGCCTTCTCGCGTATCTGTCAGGAACCTTGCCTGCTTGCTTTTCCCAGTCAAAGTTTCTAGGAATTGTACTATCGAATGGTGCATTACTCGGGCTCCAGTCTGTGAAATTCGCCGTGTTACGAGCCTACGAAAACACGTCCTCATGAATTTTGCCCAAAATGTAAAGATCGCATTCGTCGAAATTTCTCCTTGAGCACTTGTACAACACGCTGATCAAATCCTTCTACATTTTTAATGGATCTTATTGTGTTAGATTTGGTGCTTTGAGCTCTAGCCACGAAATAGCTTTGATATTCAATTGAGCAGCTGAAGCAACGCAAACACCATATTCAGTACAGTGGGAGTGGTTGGACGAAGCGATCATAATACCTGCAACGAGCGTCATACAAGCGCTCACGGAGAAATTTCGACGAAATATGCGATCTTTACATTTTTAGGAAAATGCACGAGGACGTGGTTTTGTAGGCTCGTAACTCGGCGAATTTCACAGACTGGAGCCTGAGTAATGCATCATTCGATAGCACAATTCCTAGTAACTTTGATTGAGAAAAGCAAGCAGGCAAGGTTTCTGACAGATACGCGAGAAGTGCGGCCAAAATTACGGACTTTCGTGATGCAGTTACAGTCACCTCACCGTATCTCTCCAACCCGAACATATCGGAAAACTTGCTCGTAGAGGTTATGCAACCTGCTGATTTCGAAACTCACATCTGCTTAGCAAGATAGCTTCGTATCCTGCGGCTATGGCGAGTAGAATTTGGGACGACAAGATTTTTCCACACTTCACCAGCCGTTCTATTTCCTTTGAAAAGAAACTGCGGCTATGTTTAGCACATCATAATCTACAGAAAAAGTGCTATCGAAAGATCCTTGCTGGAATGTACTCGGGTCAATGCTCGCTGCTTCACACCTTCGCGAGAAGACGTCCTCAGAAAGATCCAAGAATACTGAAATCGAAATATCAAGGACATGCTGTATATGTGAAGATTCGCCTTGATGAGCTAAGCAAGGCGCTGTTTTCGGATTCAAAATATACTTATTCCGAAGGAAGTTATGGCGAGCAGAATTTGAAAACGCGTGATTTTCCAAAGTTCACCAACGCTTCTATCTCCTTTGGAAAAAAGTCTGAGCCTGTTTTTTAGCACACAATAATCTACAAGAACAGTATTATCGAGTACTCAGTAAAGTCTTCTATGTTGGGTAGGCATTGCTTCACATTTTCGCGAAAGGACCTCCGCAGAACAAATTGACAAAAACTGGAAACGGAATATCGAAGACATCGTACCCCCACTTCCAATATATCAGAAGATTCTCCGCGCCGAGCTGAATCGAATGGCGGCTTTGGATTCAGAATTCGTCCACTCTGAAGCGAGATATGGCCACGCGACGCTGATGTATGGACATGTCCATACATGTATGGACATGTACGGACATGTACGGATATGTCCATACATGTATGGACATGTCCGTACATGTCCATACATGTCCATACATTCGCGTCTATTTTTCAAAAAATGTGAGCGGTATTGTATACCTGAATATGGAAGATGAGAGACAACGTGAAGTACTTTTCACTCTTCAGTCGAATCATCAACGAAGATAAGTACCATGAATTTGGTCAACGACTGTCACAGTCGCTATATGTAAAGAGCAACAACAGTAAGTGTCTAATAGATCAACCGATCCCCACGGTGGACCTTCTCGAGCGATGTGGAAGTCACCCCCAACTAATGCCGTTTCGTGTTGGCGTGTGGCACCATCCATTGTACGAATACTAATGAAAAGCCACCCGAGAGGCGTGAATGATTCAGCACTCATTTTTAGATTTGGAGAAGACAGTCACTTGGTCGCACGAATTGAACTGGTACACAATAAGCAACACAGAATAGTACATCGTTGTATCAGACTGCTTCATATGAATTCGGCGGAACCGATCCGCAGGGAGTTCATCAAGGATTGGCTTCGTCGCTTCTTTTCATACTATACGATACGGTGACGAGGAGAATTAGCTGCCACACCCGTGTACGCTCTTCTACGCGGATAACGTCGAGCAAGCAAGCGTATCGAGGAAGCTTCAAGGGACAACTATAAAGTGGAAGACGCTTCCATCCGAGGGCGTTGGACGTCCATAGACTGAGTATTTCAAAGGGAGCAAAGACTGAACCATACAACTCACAAATTGAAGAAGGTCACCAATTGCAAATACTTTGGGTCCCGATAATGTCGGACTGCAAAACAATCGCCGGTCCTGTGCTAGAGACACGGCTTGGCTGAAATGGCGTCGATTAGGAACACACTGCGACCTCCAAAATGCAGTGTCCTGAAATCAAAAGTTTATAGGACAGTAATACAAAAAGACGCTCTGTAAGGAGCACAATATTGCTCAGAGAACAAGAAATACGAGCAGATTTAAGCGCGGTGGAGACAATATAGATACTTGAATGGATCATAATGCAATACCGGTGACCCTCTCCGAGGAAAAGGCGAAAATGAGAAAAAAGAAGAGCATTTGCAGCAAATGTTTTTCCTTTTTTCCCCGGCAACCAGCTGAATGGACTTCTAAACGAAAGATGGAAGCAACAACCGTTTTATTGACCTTGTACCATGCCGCTTTGCTTCAATCGTTGTGTTCCATTTCAAAAAAAACTGAATGCTGCTGAGAACATCAATAATTTGTATAATTGGTGTTGGTATCTTTGCATGATCCACTCAATACTGCTGTTTTTAGCATATGTTGATGATGGTTTGTTGTATACTTGTTAAAGGCTTCATCTAGGTGCAAAATATTTTGCAGCGTGCGTGTCAGAGCAGATTCAACAACCTGTAATCAAGTTCCAGTCGCAATTATTTCGCGCATGATCGAAAATAATTTGCTCAACAAAACATATTCAAATGAGCTAGTCATTTCTGTATTAGTATCTTATATATAAAGCTAAATGTCTGTATGTCTGTCTCTATGTATGTATGTATGTGTTACGTATGTTCCGAATAGAAAATTCCATTTCAACCGATCCGGACCAAACTTGGCACACATACACTTCGGGCCCCGGCGGGTGTCATAGGCTACTTTTCGTCATCGATCGATATCGATTTTATCGATTTTTTGCTTTAAGCTACGGTGCTGGGAGTTGGCACAGGGGGGTAATCGAGCATGCTGATAGGAATATAATAATGACAGGGCCGGGCGGAGCCGGGTAAGTCAACTAGTCTACTATAATAATCACTGTAAGGTTCGTCTCGCCTTTTCAATAAAATCATCTGCCTTATACTAGCTAAATGTTCTAAAGATAAGATAAAGATAAGGAAGTTCCTGGCATTATAACTATCAACCAGCTAAAGTTTTCTGTCAAAATTGCATGAAATCAAATGTTCGAGCTACTTCATTGCCATGTAAATGGTGAGGCCCTTTCATTTTGATCGCCATCCACCACAAACAAGCATCAAGCTAGTTATCTGCTTATTTATCGGGTGAGAGGGAGAAGGTGGAAGTGTAAGGAAAAAATAAAGATCAATGAAGTCCCATAATCATGTCAAACTTTAGCTCAAACCTTTGAGTTCCATCGATTTGAAGAGGTTCAAACAAACGTTGGATGGAGAATCAATTACAGCTCTTGATAAGGTAATCTACAAAACTGTGATCGCATTTTTGCACTTGTGATCGCTGACCACGATCCAATTTGCCAGGCAAAAAAGTGCATAAAATGTGCGATATAAGCCGCGAAAGTCGCCTTTGATTGCCGAGGGTTTTTCGAACGTTTTTGCTTTGAATTAATTGCCGCCGATTCTTCTAAATACCAGTGTTTGCGAAAAAGCTATGGACTTTACATGTCTAATCAAAGTTGCTTTCTTGTAAAGTCCATCAACTATTTTTTAAATGAACCTTTGACAAAGTCACAGCAACCAAAGAGCTGCCGCTTTTTCCTACCTCAAAATCTCAGTCCTGGCAGAAAAAAGTGTGAGATGAATCTGGCACTTGCAATCTTATTTTGCAAGTATTACCTTCGGTAAATGGACCAGCGATATTCGCTGTTTTTTGGAATTCTATAAAAAAAATCTTCTTTACTCACAGATTAGGCACCTTCATTTTAGGAACGCCTTGATTTTTTGACATCTGACAATGAGAGGGACCTTAAAAAATGAAAATGTCGCTAAAATTTTCTGTAATATCTAAATTGGTACATCGTTACCCCTTTTTTCAAATACTTTTTTGCGCAATCCGCTTTTTGAATATTAGATAACTATAGAGGATGTTGCCCTAAAGCATAACTTCGACAATTTGCTTTCTGGACTTAGCATACCTATGCTACTCACTCTTTATCAAATGTGGACCCGATTGGTTTGCAAAGCTGCAATACTACGAGAGAGGAACGCCGATGCTTAGGTCAAGAAAAAGCATAACCGGTCTAGGTTTACGGCTAAACAGAAGACCGGTAAGTTAGATACACAATGCCAAGATTCGTCTTGGATAGAACGCTGTCAAAATTGCTGTACCACAATTTCAATTCTGTTCCTTCGTCTTTTCAGCTGTTTTCAGCTGTTTCAGCTGAGAGTTTGGAATTGGTCCCCGTTCATTCATCACAGCATAGATGCAATCTCAGTCACTGTAGTTTTTCTCTTCAAGGATGACATCTAGCTATAATTTCTAAACCGGGGATTTACTTATGACTGATAAAATTTCATGAATACTTACCACAAGATGTGTAACCTGCCAGCTGCCGCCATATGGATTTGCTCTTCCTCTTTGAAGAAAAAACAAACTTACATTATGTTGAATTCCAATTAACTTTTTGGGCTAATATTCTTATAAATTTCAAAAATGTGTTGTGTGAATGTGAAAAATATTTTTGTAGTTCCGCATACGATTTTCCGTAGTCCCCTCCTTCCTCTCCGTCTCAGCATGAAGGTAAAATGTGCAGTATTGAGATCCTGGTCCAAGGTTTATTACGTACCTAGTAAATGAATTAATCTCTCCACAAACGCCCTACAAAATTGAGGGTCCTCAGTTGACTAATGTCAAGCTATACCTTAAAAATATCACGAGAGTTCTTTGCTGTTGGATAGCGAAAGATGCAGCTTGAGAAGAACTTCACCCATTCGTTTTACATGCAGAATTACAAATTATCCTTCCTTCATGCGCACATCTGAATATAAATTATTGAACTGGCATTTCTTGCACTAATGTTCAGATTGAAGACCATACGCCTCCGTCAATCTGCCCATCTTTTCAAAATGGACAGCGTTCAGATTATAGCTAAGTCAATCGTCTTTGGGCGATCGGAGATAACAAATGACGTGGACGGAAATGCAAAAAAATCAAATGTGTGGTTGCTCACACAAGGGCTTTTTTCAAACTGTTCGACTTCTAGCTTTTAGTCGCGTGATCTAATCTGTGAACGCTGATTAATCATTACAAATCGGATTCCATTACAAATTACTCACAGTAAACACCTTCGCGTGGTGAGATGATATCGAAATCAGTTCTTACTATTTTCTTTCTCATCTTGTCCCTACACATAAAAATCAGTTCAGGTTCTTTGGTTTCGCTGTGCTGAACTGCTTTGCATTGATGTCACGTTATAATGCATTTTGCTATTCTAGCAATTATAATGTGATATTTTGCAACTGCAATTTTATATGCGTTTTTTCGCGCATAATAGTGGGGAATGTACAGCTCGTTGATGTTAAAAACTTTTTCGTCCCTTAGCTGCAATGTAGATTTACTACTCTGAAAGCACCAATAATCTTCTAAATACCGTGGTTCTCCTCATTATCAAAAATTAGAGTTGTTTGTGGGTCAGTCAGAACCGAATCTTCCCGAAATAAAACTTTTAAGATTTAAACTTTGTAATTTCGAAGAAGGCCGCTTTTTTGATTATGATATTTTGAAGAAATTGCTTACTTAAAGCTGCGACGAGTATCAATACCAGCTGGTATCCCTCAAAATGTGGTAGGAGCGTACGAACTTAGAGTTTGCTTTTAAGGTTAAAGTGTGCGATCTTCAAAAATGTGAGTTTTTCGGCAATTTCTAGAATGGAATTAGCAAATATCAACATAGTTTAGTAGGCCAGAAGTTCCTACTGCGATCTTACAATGATGGAAAACTATTGATGTCCTAGGGTTAAAACTTTGAGTCATCTCATCAGTAAGCCAACCAAAGTCAGCGAAAGACATCGAGTCACGGAAGAATAACCAGACCATCGTAGATTTTCACAGTATACATCCAAACCCTTATATATTCCCTGCCAAATGCGTCATGATCAAAGAATAGCGGCTGACGTCTAGAGCTCATAAAACCACTTGAAGTCTATCAAAAGGCCACAATATTAACTTAGTCAGTTCTGCGGAATTTTTCGTGCACTCAGCCGAGTATGGCCTCATCCTCCACGGCACCATCTCACCGGTGCACCTTTCACCCACACATTGACGTAAGCACTACGAGAAAACGTTGAACAGTTTTTGCGAGTCGCTAGCGAATTGCCGACAACCGCTGTGCAAACATTATTCCAAACAAATTTGCTCATCTCAGCATGTGAAGTGTTCTTTAATCGATAGCCATGTGAAGCACCTTTGCCACTCTCTGAGGCTTCGTGTACAAGCTGTGTTTGAATATCGTTGGGTCTTGCGGGGGTGACGTGGTTCGCCCACTCCTCTTTAGCAGCTTTTATCAAAGTTATACAGCTTAATTCTGAGACGATTTAATCCCAGAAAAAGCTTGTCGAGTCGGAAATTTGCCTTGACTCGGCTAAGTCCGAGATGATCACCGGTCAAATCGGGTTGTCCTTCGAAATCCCGCTCGATCGATGTGTTTCTGGCTCACAACTAACCTTTTGCGTCGATGGCTCGCGTGCTTCCTCGTATTTGCAGCACTTTCCTTAATAGCAACTCTGCCCATCGCTTTATCATCTGATTTCTCTCATTCAACAGTTTTTTCATAGGTGAAGGAATCTTCGAATTCTCCCTACCGACTTAATTCTAACTTGCACGAGCTTAATATATCCCTCATTCGGCATAAGTTGTGTTTAACGACAAGTAAACAAGTGAATTATTCCCATGGCTTATTTTCCCACGTGCTTGAGATGTTACTAGAATAGACAGAGATTCTGCACATGTGCTCAACCACAAGCTGGTTTCGAAAGGAAGGTTTTCCAAAAGACTTTTTCTCTTGTTTTTTGTCATTCTCGTGGGATTGGGAGAAAAGAATATGTACAAACTTTGTTTACTCCTTCGGTTATCACTTGCTCGTTAATAACTGCATTATTCATATTGTTGATTGATATCGTATGCCTGAGATGTGCTATTATAGGTAGAACCTCTGACAATCCATTGCTGTAAGGTGTTATTAAAGAATAACACTTATTCAAAGGATTCTTCCTATTTTTCATTCTTCTCCTCCTTTTAGTAAGATTTAAAGGATAGGCCATACGAGTTTTGCCCTCTTTATATTCTAAATTACCCTCGCTTTATTCTTTAACACTTTCTCTTTTCAAAGAAGCAATAATATTCTCGGAAAAACACCTTTTCAGTCTAGTAAAACCTCCGACAATGCTTGCATAAATTCGATGTATCGATGGCTCGAAAATATTCTTGGAGAAATTGCAAAAAATGCTTCTTGTTGATAGCACGAGAGTAGATAGCCATATGAGAAAAATTTCCGAGCATAATGAACGCTATGCGTTTCATTCGCTTTATATGCTGGTAGAAGCTATGGTAATAGTTATAAGCAAATTGCAAAAGAAGAATTTTAAGAATTTTTGAAAAGATTGTGTGCTTGTCACCCTCTTTCAGATTGCTATTCGTCATAATTTCCAATTCCATCGAAATTGTCGCTTTATGTAGGTTAGCAATTAGCTCTTGCCAACTGCAGAGCGCTTTCTCTCATAGTTTCTCTTTTTTTCTCTGTCTCGTTTCTCCTCTCTAGCCACGAGTCCGAAATGAGTTTTCGCAAAACCATTTTTCAATGGTGTTATGCCAGTTAGAGCAGCTCTGGAATCTTGTTTAGACCCCATTTCTTGGAAAGCGAATTGGCGCAAACCAACTGAATTTTCGCTCTCTCCTGCGTTCTGCATCAGCCCGTTATAATATTCAGCATAGGCGTTTTCCCATAGCGCAAAACCTCTAATCGTCTGCAGCTTGCTGCACATAAAATTCTCCATTTCATTTGAATAACTTAAGCCGCCTTGATATCCTTGACTCGTCAAGTCCTTCTTTTTTCGGATTTAACGGACAGTTTCGTCGTTCTTGTCGAGTTCATCATGCGAATAAACTTCCACCGGATCGTTTGATGACTCAGTCGTTCTAAATATCGAATTCTTTCCGTGCTCCTGATCTAGAGCATGACTGAACATTTCAAGGCATTTGTAAACCAATCTTCGCCATATTTCAATACAAAATCACTTTTTTACTTCCCTTTTCCAACGCCCAAGACAAAAAATGCCTAAATTCAATTTCATTAAGCAATTCACGATGACTAACATAGGTGAAGTATGAAACATGTGAAGAGATTTTATCTTAATAGCTCTGCGGATCATCTTGTATGTCTGCTGACATTTCCCTGTTCTCAAAATACGCTTTGAATCGCAAACAGCTTTCACATATGCTTAATGAATCGATGAATGCCATGGAGTTTCATTGTTATATGTGTAAATGTCCTTTAGATGATTATTTGCAATGAATAAAGGTCGCATTCAATTGAAAATTCTGCTTAGCGCTTTAGTTTTGTGGTAATCACAAGCGTCAAATTTTGAATAACCATGTCATGTTACGCAGATGTTTTTTCTGGAACTCCAAGGTTTTGTGTTGTTTACAAACAACATAATCTTAGAATTGAATTTGATATAATTATTTGAAGTCAACATACCTTTTCTTCGCTCAAAAAGATATGTTATAAGTACTCCTATGGTTGAGCATCAACAAACAGAAACAGCATGAAAATAAAGCTCTTACCTTGCACTACTCCTAAGCTTCTTTGAAAAAGACTGTCAAATTGACACTCGCTGCCAAAAAAACTCGCTGTCATGCGAATCGAGCAAAGTACGCTCAGTTCATGTAGAATCCAGCTGAATGGGACGTGAATGGCATGAAGTCCCGAGAAAGCTATTCCATTTCAAAACGTCAATTCTATCTTCTCCTCAGAGCAGCAGCAACTCAAAGTTTTGTGCTGAAATTCTCGTCGAAATGTCGCCGTGTCTCGTCGCATTTTGAACGAAAACACGATTTACGCAGTTTCTTTCTTCATCGTCGCTTCGAATGTCTGTGAGAGAGCGAGTGTCGCGCTCTAAGCCGCTCGTAAATGCTCTTAAATGTAGTATCGTCTTCGAGCATTCAAGCCGGATGTTGTGTTGATGAGAATGTTGTTAGCGAGAGTGCTGCCCCACCAATGTGTGTCTTGTTTTTCTCGAGACATACCCCCACATCTCATGAAAAATGCAAAATGATCTAGTAAGAGAAACACATGCGGCTGCTGTCTCGACTCACACCGATAGTGGCTCTAAAGTCCGCTCATCATTCAGATCATCAATGGTTAATATTTCGTCTTTTTTTTGGATTTTTGCTGCTTTCTTGCTCTCCGATAGATATCACTCGAAAAATTCTTCCAGAAGTTTCTAATGCGCACTCATCCTGACACTAGCGAGCGATCCCGATGGCTTGATACAAAGGACGCTTCCGCCCGGAAGATCTCTTCCAACTCTGTCGCCAGTACATTATCACGGTATGTCATCTATGAACTGACATGAATCACATCAGAGGAACCTTTACGTTACTTTTACCCTCTATCCCAAGTGTCCAAAAAATAATACTTCCTTTGAGTAAGAAGAAATTCTTACTTTTCGTTTTCTGGCTTCCAACAGCCTCTCTTTTCTCGTTTAACTCTCAATCTTAGGCGCCTGAGCTCTTACAAATTGCATAATTCTATCTCTCTCCATATCGATTCCTCATGCTCTTTTCACTTAATTTCGTTTTCAAAGAAGTTTAAAGGTCTAGAAGAGTGCGCCGGATGTGCACAGCTATCCATCACAACATTGTGCTTCTTTTTCCTTGAGTCTAAGTTTAGCTGCACTCATTCTTCAGCATGCTTAAGATCGTCGCAGCAGGACATAAAAATGTCAGCAACCCAAGAAATTCGACACAAAAGAGTTTGATATGCTCCGATCCCTAAGCTCAGTGTCATAGATAAACTCACCATTGATTTCGGAGACAAAACTACCATTTTTATGGAAATGATTCATCAGTTCGCTTTGCTGATAGTTGAAAACTATCAAGTCGTAAAAGATCGCATCATGATCAAGCGCCACATCGATGAAAAAATTTAAAATGAGGATGGGTATTTACGGAGCTTTTCGTTCCAATGCTAAGTATTATACTTGCTGAAGCTTTCGACGGGCTAACTCGTCATTTCTAATTTTAACTAAATAAATGTATCGGATCTCTAGCGAAGATCAACCAACGCTTAGAGAAGGCAAATCTAACAGTGTTTGTCTCTATTCAAACTTTTTGGGCAATCTTGATGTTTCTGATGCTTAATGTTTTTGTCTAAAAACTACTTTTAGACTACAGGTTAGGCAGAGCACGCGATATCTGAATCTACAAAGGGTAATTGACAGTTTGTGAGATTGAAATCGATCAACGATACTGCAGAAAATTCTTCAAATTACTTACCTTTAACGTTAAGTGCAGTCAGTCACCTTCTTTCACTACGAAACATCAATATATACAAAATACAAATTTGGAATAAAGTTGAGAGTGAACTGAAAAAATTCTGTTTAGCTTGCTCCATGCCTAGTACATTCTGAACGCTTTCGAAATTTAGTTTGGAAACTTTAGGAACTGGCGAAAATTGACCGTATCATAAATCTTCTCCAGATCCGAAGTATTTTTTAAAACGAGTCGAGTGACCTGCAATAAGTGCATATATGTTTGGAAAAAGAAATGAAAAGCTGGATCGAATGCTACCCACAGCATTAAGTTGTTACATTGAAAGATGTGCGCCCAGTCAGAAAGCGAACAGACTAGCTAAGATCTCCAACTTTAGCTAAGTGTCTCTGATCATTTATAGCAAGCTGGACTGCTTTTGTAAGGCGGATTAGTTTAAATCGCTATTAGATTGTTAACACTAAATCGCTAGCACTCTTCTTAAAGACCTAAATTTGAGTATATCGTTAAAATCAATGAACCGCGATTCAAAGTTCGCATCAAGCGCCTTTTACTCAAAGTATGATTTTCAGGATTGCGTATTCTTATCATGATATTGTTGATTTGTAATTAATGCGTTTTTCCTACCTCTTCTTTCAAACGCTAGTCTTCGAAGTAAAACCGTTTCTCTTCGAAACTTCTTGCAGTGCCTGAAGCCCGCTTCTTCTGGTTTCTCAAATATACTTTCGTTTTCTGAAGTCTTTGTTTAAACATTTCCATGCCAAAGATAAGGGACTAAAACTCGAAAGTTTTTTCTTCTAACTAACTGGTCTAAATTCCTGAAAATTAGTCAGATTTGTTTCAAAAAATATCTATTATCATCGGGTAGGTTTCAAATTGCTCATCGACGCTAAATTTTGAAAATTCTGAGCTGAGAAGCTTCAACCCAAACTTGGTTGATTACTGGGATCATTCTGAGCTGTTTAGCAGGATTAGGTGAAGGGAGATTGCAGATCTTTCGCTTTTCGCAGGTAGAGTGAATCTAATGTCGTCTCTCAGATGTGAAAAATTTAGAAAAATTCAGACCGCGGTTTTTTGTCTTTTCTAAAATTTATTTATTTATTTATTTTATTTATTTTACTTATTTATTTGTTTATTTATCTATAATGCAGAATAACACTGGTACTTTTGCTATCTTGGCAATATTTTTTTTGCAAAAAATTTCCGTAAGATCCAAGTGTCACACTACCATTCAATCTACCATCGGCTAAGCAAAGTCTGCTCAATTTTAGTACTCTTGTGAGTAAGTTCTGCTCTCTCAAACTATACTCCTCAGAAAAAATTTTCGGCAGTTCTTGGACCAAAAAATCCTTTTTGTGGTGAGTACACTCATACAAAAGTACAGGTTGTATAGCTTAAGGTTTGCTGTTTATGACAGATTTCGATGCGCTTAGAAAGATTGTTTTGGAAAAGAATTATCTTGATCAAAAGTTGAACTCATGAAAACGTGCATTAACTATGACCCAACCTAATATTATTGAATAAACTTGAGGAAAATTTGTTGACACTCGAGCAAAAATTGTCAGCACTAAATTTCAGCACCTCTAACAAAAAAACTCGCTGTTTGCTTGAGAGTTGAACAAATATATCAATAGCTTAAATTGCAATATATCTTCGTATAACTGCAGCAGTTAACATAACTGTCACAATTTTGAAATTTATCGGTACAAATGACGCAAGTTATCTTCCAACTGAATTAGTTCGTTCCAAATGAGTTACGTCCTTCCAGTTTGCTTCCAAATTGCCAAAACTGGGTTTGACGTCGTCGCCTGAATTTCACTTCCGCGTTCGTTGCAAAAGCTAATGCTTTTTCTCAGACGTTTGCTCATCCGCCTCTATCTTCTTACAGAGTCATTAAGCCAACTTAACCAGAAAAGATGGTTTTGCGATCTTCTGATCAAAGAGCTTGGCATTGAGCGGGAGGCGAACAGTGTAGCAAAAAAGTCATTAGGAAATTCAACAGAAGGAACTTCGAGTAATTTTCGATTTTACTTCCGCAATCTTATATCGCACTTTATTTGCTGTTCTTAAATGTTGTTCTTCACTAAATAATACGAATTTCCTCTAAGATAATGTTCCGTGAAATTTGATAATTTACCTTTTGTCACGGTCAAAGTACTGCTGGAATGTTGATGCCTCAAACAAAAGCACGAGTCTTTTTTCTCCGTTCTCTCGCATTCTCATCATTTCAAACGAAAGTCTCTGAGAGTTCGAACTTCGATCCTTCGTGCGTCACAGCAATAGCAGCATTCCATAGTCTGAATGGAGACAGCTGTTGGCAGCTCTCAGCAGTTTCCGCTGTTTTATGTTTTCTTCCATCAATGTTTAGTACCCTGCTGTTGCAAAATGGCGAGCGCAAGTGCAAAAAAATCAAGTTAGTTCTATTTTTCGAATGATTGATTATTGTTGCCTGAATGTAGATAGTGAATGCGGGGCTTCTCGTGAATGACGGTAAAAGCTAACCAATGACCAAATGTTCAAAGCATGTAACATTGTCGAACGCATTGTTTGCATAGTCTTGGCAAATACTTGTTTAAGTTTTTACTAAAATTTTCTTTACATCACCTGGAAAATGAAGTGCTTTGGCAAAGCGGAACATGTTATATTGGCAAAAACTAACTTCCTCAATTTTTGCATTTTTTAGAAACGTTGCAAACTCATTGTTCTTCATATCGAAAAGTATAGTGTAAGATAATCAGAGACTAGGCTCTAAAGAAAAACTTTTTTGTTAGCGAATTTCCAACAGTCAAGTTATAAGAAAATAATCCATTTTAGTTGAATAAAGATTGCATGTATGTTTTTGCTATTTCAAGCCGTTACTATGGTTTTTGAGCTAAACCTACTATTCACAACTAAATTGTGCTTGTCTATCGTGCACCCACTACAAAATAAAAATGAACTTCAACAGGACAAAAAAGTGGTTTAAAACCTAGATGTGTTAAGGCTCAAATATGCCTTTTCGCTGAGAAGTGGGAATTGATTTGTAAGGCCTAAAACTGCTCCACAAAGAACTCAACCAGAAATACTTCTTTCTTTGTAGGTTTTGCAATTATACAGCGAACTCATATTTTAATCACTCTAAACCTAATTAATCAATTTATTAGGTTGGCTAAAAAATAAGTTCGTTTTGGCATACAAATTGTCATAAAAAATTTTCTTGTTGTTTTCAATCTATGATTCTTTGTGGGAAAGTAGTTTGAAACTTCCTCTATCACATCCAAATAATTAGGATTTTCTATCATCAGTAAAGACAGTTATGCCTCAACATGGCGAAATTTCCAAATGCTCAATTTTTTGACTTCTTGAGCTTCGTTTTCATGCTGTAATGGATGTAAAGAACAGCAGTTTGGTGTTTGGATAGAGAGGAGTTTTCCCAATATAGTGAACAACAAAAAAATGTGATCTGCCATTTTGAAGATGTTTCACTAAGAAAACCAAATTTCTTCATATTTGCGAATTATGGAAAAATTGCGATTTTTCACTTCTTTGCGGATTTTTTTCATTGGAAGATAAGTCTTACTAAAACAGAATATATGCTCCAATACCCAGTGATACCAAACATTAGACAAAAAGTTGTCTACACCATTTATATGAGCTGAAAAAGCGACCGAACTTATTTATTAGCCAACCTAATAATTAGCGGCGGCAGAGTCGACAAACTACTTTTCGCAAGGACGATTGAACCACAGCTCACATTTTGGGATACCCGTTTGCTGTCCTATAAAGGGCGGGGCATACATCACGCGATTTCGTCGCCTCGCGATTCTCTCAACAAGACAACTGTTACCAGTTCATTGCATGCTGATCATCTTGCATTTTAGTTGTGATAGTTTTCCGACACAACTAATCGCGACTCACTATCACAACCAAAATGCAAGATGATCGGCATGCAATGAACTGGTAACAGTTGTCTTGCTGAGAGAATTGCGAGGCGATGGAGTCGCGTGATGTATGCGCGGTCTTTAAGTTATTGTAATGTGTTCAGCGTCATGCTGAAACAGACACAGGATTGTACAAATC